TCTCTTTCATCATTGATGTTCCTCTCTCTCTCTCTCTCCCTTCCTCTCCGAAATCAATAAAAATATATTTAAAAAATGAACTGACCTCCAGCTGGGCCGGGTGGGGTGGGGGTGGGGGTGGGGGAGGTGTCGGTGGGTCTCCGAGGCGGGAGGGGTGTGGAGAGGCAGCGAGTGGAGGCGGGTGGCAGGGACGTGTCGGGCACAGAGAGGTGTCCCAGGAGGAGAGGGGGGCGTGGGCAGGGCAGGTGGGACGTTGGGGAGCCTCAGGGGTGCCCCTCGGGACGAGAGGAGGGAGGTGGGGGGAGGTCCGGTCCACCGGGAAGGGTCTGCTCCCCTCAGAATCACCAGCCTGAGCCCTGGGGTCCGTCGAGGCCCCTCGGGGCCCCAGGAGCAGCCTGCCCTGGATGTTCCACTTGCCCGCGTCTGGCCGCTCCCGGGAGGCCGCCTGCCCGGTAACAGCACCCTCCGTCCCCCCCCAGGCTGAAGCGCTCGGGGCTGAAGGTGAGGTTCTGCACCAACGAGTCGCAGAAGTCCCGCGGGCGCCTGGTGGGCGAGCTGCGCCGCCTGGGCTTCGACGTCTCCGAGGCCGAGGTGACCTCCCCGCCCCCCGCCGCCTGCCGCATCCTCCAGGAGCGAGGCCTCCGGCCACACCTGCTGGTCCACGACGGTAGGCCTGCGGGTGCCGGGCTGGGGGTGCAGGCTCCCCATCCAGGGTGGGGCTGGGTCGGCATCCCTCTCCCCTGGGCCCCAGCACAGGGAGGGGTGCGGGGTGGCACCTGCCACAGCCCAGGGAGGGGCGCGGGGTGGCACTGAACTGTATCCCTCCCTCTCTCTTTCCAGAAGTCCGCTCGGAATTCGATCAGATCGACACGTCCAACCCAAACTGTGTGGTCATTGCGGACGCGGGAGAACACTTTTCCTACCGGAACATGAACAGGGCCTTCCAGGTGCTCATGGGGCTGGCGGACCCCGTGCTCATCTCCCTGGGGAAGGGGTAAGTCGGCGTGAGACTCGCTCCGGTCCGGCTCCCAGAGCCATGGGGAGAAGGAGGCGGGAACGCGGGCGCGGTGGGCGCAGGGCGACGGCCTTCTCGCTCCCTCCCTCTTCTTTTTCTTTTCTTTAATCTTCAGCCAAGGAGTGAGGATATTTTTTCCGTTGATTTTTAGAGAGAGCGGAAGGGAGGGGGCGGTGGGAGAGAGAGAGAGAAACATTGACGTGAGAGAGGCACATTGATTGGTTGCCCCCCACACGGACCCCGACCGGGCTGGGGATTGAACCCGCAACACAAGTACGTGCCCTTGACAGGGAATCGAACCCAAGACCCTTGGGCCGACGCTCTAACCACTGATCAACCAGCCAGGTCCCTCCCTCCGTTTTCTTGCTTTTTCTCTTCATTTCTTCCTTCTTTCCTTTTGTAACCCTGCAACCTCCTGCAATTCAGGTCACTGCGAGCCACAGAACCTGGCCTGCTTAGCTCATTGACGGTCCGGGCGGGTCCTAGGCCTCCCTAAGGTCCTGACTCATCACTAGAGAACATGTAGTTAAGAAACTCTGTTATAACTTGTTTGTGTTAACAGTTTTTAATCGTCTCTAATACATATATACACTCACACTAGAGGCCCAGTGCATATTATGCATATATATATATATATATTGATTTCAGAGGGGAAGGGAGAGGGAGAGAGAAACATCAATGATGAGAGAGGATCATGGATCGGCTGCCTCCTGCACGCCCCACACTGGGGGTCGAGCCCGCATCCTCAGCATGTGCCTGACTGGGAATCGAACCGTGACCTCCTGGTTCATAGGTCGACGCTCAACCGCTGAGCCACGCCGGCCGGGCTTGTCTCTAGTTATTAAGTGATTCCAGATCACGGGCAATAGGCACAGTAGGCATGTTGCTGACACAGGGCGAGCCGTGGAGTCCTGGCGTTGGCCTGCGACTCCGTAGCGGCCTCGAGCGGCTGGTTTTTCAGACGAGCGGTGATGGGGTCTCTCGCTGACGGGGTCTCACTGACGTGAGGGGTTCGCTGCTCAGAAACGAGAGAAAGGAACCACGGCTTCGGGCCCATGTCCGCGTCCCGGGACAGCCCAGGGCCCCCAGAGGCTGCTGTCACGTGGAGTGGGTCACCGATGGGGAGAGCCGTCCCCCTGGGCGCAGGGCCGAGCCGTGGCCGCGTGGCCGTGCTCTGGACACGGATGGTTTGCAGGGGCATCTGCTTGGACCAGGAGCGGGAACTGCCTGTGATTCCTCCGTCACGCGGCCGGCGGGACATTAGGCTGTTGACGCGCAGACGGTGGGAGGTTCATGGCTCTGGCGGGAAAGGTCAGTCCATCGCTGTGCCGGGAGGCCCTGCCGACCGAGGGGAAGGGCAGAGGCAGAGCGTGAGGCCTCTCCGGCCGCACCTCCCGCTTCCCCCGCCTGCCCAGCTCCCGGTGACCGCTGTGCTGCATGCTCAGACCAGCCTGGCCTGCGGGGTTGATATTCGCCAAGAGCACCAGATAAATGCTTCCAGTCTCTTGTGTTTGGGGAATAGCCTAGGCGCATGCATATACATATACACACACACACACACACACATATGTACATATATATGTATTAATATATATTTTTACGGATGTCAGAGAGGAAGGGAGAGGGAGAGACAGAGAGAGAAACATCAATGATGAAAGAGAATTATGGATCGACTGCCTCCTGCTCACTCCACACTGGGGATCGAACCTGAAACCCCGGCCTGTGCCCTGACCAGGAATCAAACCGTGACCTCCTGGTTTATAGGTTGATGCTCAACCACTGAGCCAAACGGGCCAGGGCCTGGGCTTTCATATTTTTTAAAAGTTAGGTTAGGTGCTTGTACTGACTGTATCTCTAAAAATGCTTGTAGCTAACAGATGGCCTGCAAGACGCCTTCTTGCTTTCCTGAATGAATGAGAAATGAAGAAAAGCTCTGAGAGCGATAAAAGCAAGCCCAGGTTCCGTTAAAAAGGAAACGTTAAGGTTTCTAAGTTTGATTTTGGAAGTCAGTTTTTTCTTTAGACTCTAAAAATTCACGTAAGAAAGACAAGGTTTTTATTTAAATTTTATTTTTTAATGACAGTTTTACATTCAATAGTTATTATATTATTGTTATTTTTATCCTCACCCAAGGATATTTTTCCCATTGATTTTTAGAGAGAGTGGAAGGGAGGGGGGAGCGGGAGGAGAGAAACACTGATGTGAGAGAGACACACTGATTGGCTGCCTCCCCCGACGGGGGCCAGGGTTGGACCCTGCAACCGAGGAACGAGGTACGTGCCCTTGGCTGGGAATCGAATCCGTGATCCTTCAGTGTGCGGGGCAACACTCTAACCACTGGGCCGACCAGCCAGGGTTTGGCCCATTTTACAGATTAGGAAACTGAGGCCCAGAGGGCTTAAGCAACCCAAAGTCCCACAGTTAGGAGGAAGTGGAGAGGCTTTGAACGCCGAGGCCAGCACGCCTCCCCGCTCTTGCCCCTGTGCGCACACCGGTTTAATGTCTCCCAATTTTGAGGAGCGTTGGGAAGGGGAAGGGGAGCTGGTGAGGTGGGTTCCCCGAGAGCCCAGCCGTCTCGGCCCCCGTTGTCTTCTCCTCAAGCTTCTGATGCCCACGGACCCCGCACGCCTCCTGACCTCCGGCTCACAGGACACGCGGCCGGGCGCCGGGAGCTGGCGGAGTTTTCTCCTTCAGGCAGCAATTAGGGTTAATTATTAGCAATGAGGGGCTCCCGCATGCTCTGTGGACCTGCTGTCCTTTCCCAGGTCCCCCATCTTTCTGTGTCAGCAGCTGGGCCCATCTGCCCCTCGGGTCCCCCATCCATCACCGTGGCCGAGTCCCCACAAAGCTGGCAGCGGGCCATTCTGGCCGAGGGCTGCTGGCCGGGCGTGGTGACCACCACGGGCCACTCTCGGCTCGGCACCTGCACGGACCCTCACCCGCTGGCCCTCCGGACGGGACGGCATTTCTCTGGGCTCCCGGAGCCCAGCCGGCTCACCTGTCCCCCCCTCCCCGCCAGGCGCTACTACAAGGAGACCTCGGGCCTGATGCTGGACGTCGGCAGCTACATGAAGGCGCTCGAGGTACCTGCCCGGAGCCCTCCTCGCGCTCCAGGCTTCTGGAGAAGGCGGCGTGCTCAGTGGCCCTCCTAGTGGGGCTGCCCCTGCCCCTGCCCCCGCCCCCGTGTGCTCCTGCCCTCCACGCCCCTGTGCTGGCCGCCGGCCCTCCCAGCATGCCCTCTGCCGCCCTCCTCCTGGCTCTGTCTGTGGGGACCATGCTCACTCCCCACCCTGGGCACCTGCAGCCTGACGGGTCCTGACTGGACCCCTTCCCGCCCCCCATCCCCCACCCTGAAGGCCAGGCCCCGGCGGGGCTCCCAGCATCCTCTGACCAATGCTTAGCCCGCTGTCCTGGCCTCGGCTCCGGCCCCGGCCAGCTCCTCTCACCGCCCGCCTGCACTGGGCACCAGCCCTGCCTGCCTGCACCCGTGCGGGGGAGGGACAGACGGGACGTGGAGCCCTGGACGCATCCTGGGGGAGCCGTGACCAGCGGGGTGGGCGGGGGAGGGGAGAAGCAGGAATACGGGTGAGAGCGCGGTCGGGTGCCCGAGACTGCCACCTCTGGGCCGCCTCCCCCACAGCCGGGGGTTTGAGCAGATGGCGGCCGGGAGGTGCGGGCTCCGAGCGTCCCAGGCAGCCCGACATGGCGTCGTCCGCTCGTGTCTATCAGACGTGTCTCGGGCTCACATGTCCTGCCCGGAGGCCCCTGGTTCCTGGAGGGAGGTCTTCCCTGCAGTCGGGGTCCCGTTGCTTCGCCCCACGCCCACGCGTGCCCTCTCTCTGCAGTACGCCTGCGGGGTCGAGGCCGAGGTGGTGGGCAAGCCCTCCCCGGAGTTCTTCAGGTCGGCCCTGCGGGAGCTGGGCGTGGAGGCCCACCAGGTAGGTTGCCTTGCGGATGCGGATTCAGATGCGCGTGGAGGCAGCTGTGTCGGGAGGGGACCTCACACGGCCGCCCGGGGGCTTGGGGGCTCAGGCAGCCTCGTGGGCCGGGCAGCCACGTGCGGACCCCCCACCACGAGAGCTGATTTGGCTGGAAACGGGGAAAAGGCAGCAAAGGAAGTCCACTGAGTGTTTTATTTATTGTTTGTTTTTTAAATATATTTTTATTGACGTCAGAGAGGAAGGGAGAGGGAGGGAGAGATAGAAGCATCCATGATGAGAGAGAATCATGGACCGGCCGCCTCCTGCACGCCCCACACTGGGGATCGAGCCCGAAACCCCGGCTGTGCCCTGACCAGGAATCGAACCCTGACCTCCTGGTTCCTAGGTCGACGCTCCATCGCTGAGCCACGCCGGCCGGGCTTCCTCTTGTTTTTTAAAGCACATCCAGCCTTGCCGTTGCCGTGCCCTCTCTAGTCTAGGACGCCTTTCAGAGAACATTTATTTTAGACACAACTGGACGATGCTCTGAAACACCCAACAGTGGCCCCGAGACACAGAAGGACGCTCAGCCTCAGGACCAAAGTGAGGCCCCCTCGCACCTCTCACCCGGCCGCGCGAATTCAAACAAGAAGCGAGGGCTCCCCCTGTAGGAAGCCAGTGGGAATGTGAGACGGGGCAGCCCTCTGGGGACAGCTCCTCGGATTGAAAACATGTTCCCACGAAACGCACACGTGACTCTTCCTAGCGGCACTATTCACAATAGCAGACGAGAAAAACAGTGCATGTCCACCGGCAGGTGAAGGGCCCACGGCACGTGGCGCGCTCACACAGTGCGGTATTTCAGCGGGAGAGGAATGAGATGCGGGGAAATGCATTGTGGGCAGGAACACGCGAGTGGAAGCAGCCAGGCACAAAGGCCCCCTTTCGTATGTTCCATGATATTTGTGGGAAGTGCCCCGAAGAGTCAGGTCCACAGAAACGTCAAACAGGCCGGGGCTGTGGAGGGTGGGGGCTCGGGGTGGCCGGCGGCCCCATGGGCGTGGGCCTCCTGTTGGGGTGATGAAATGTCCGGAACTAAATGGCGGTGATGGTCACGCAGCATGGTGAATGCACTTAATGCCACTGATTAGAAACTTCGAAATGGTCACATTGGTGAACCTGGTGTGTATTTTATCACATGAAACAAAAAGTCTACCCCCAAATCAATAGTAAATCCTTAGTATTCTCTAATATCAATCCATTTTTTTAAAAAATATATATTTTTATTGATTTCAGAGATGAAGGGGGAGAGAGAGAGAGAGAGAGAGAGAGAGAGAGAGAAACATCAATGATGAGAGAGAATCATTGATCAGCTGCCTCAAGCCCGCCACCCAGGCACGTGACCCGACTAGGAATAGAACCGTGACCTCCTGGTTCATAGGCCGACGCCCCACCACTGAGCCACACCAGCCGAGCAACAGTGCACCTTTTTATGATACCAGTCCACACCAAGTCTCCCTGGCCGCCTCAGAAACATGCTCTTATGTCGATTTGTTTTTGCATCAAATCCAAACAAGGTCTGTGCCTTTCTTGCATGTGGCTTTCGTCTCTTAAATCTTTTTAACTTTTATCATGAATCGTTTCAGCCGTCGGTGCAAGGAGGGAGACTCACATAACGAACCCTATGTCCCCATCACTGAGCTCCAGTAATGACCAACTACTCGAGCACTTTTTAAAATTGTTTTTAACTGTCCATTGTGAAATAACTTCACATTGACAAGGAAGTTGCAAAAACAGTACAAGGAACGCCCATGTGCCTGCAACCAGCTCCAGTGCTGACGTCCGACAGGACAGTCATAAAGCGATCGACATGCGCCCTGACTCACGATGGTTAGTTAACCCAGAGACCGTCTGCAGCGCTGTCAGCTGTCCCACCAGGAGCTTTTTTAAAAAAATGTTTTTATTGATTTTTAGAGAGAGAGGAAGGGAGAGGGAGAGAGAGATAGAAACATCAGTGATGAGAGAGAATCATGGATCGGCCGCCTCCTGCACGCCCCACACTGGGGATCGAGCCCACAACCCGGGCCTGTGCCCCGACCGGGAATCGAACCCTGACCTCCTGGTTCACAGGTTAACTAACACTCAGCCACGGAGCCACACTGGCCGGGCGGCTGTGGCATTTTTCTTTTTTTTTTTTTTTTTTTTTTTTTTTTTTTTTTAAATATATTTTATTGATTTTTTACAGAGAGGAAGGGAGAGAGATAGAGAGTTAGAAACAACATCGATGAGAGAGAAACATCGATCAGCTGCCTCCTGCACATCTCCCACTGGGGATGTGCCCGCAACCCAGGTACATGCCCCTGACCGGAATCGAACCCGGGACCCTTCAGTCCGCAGGCCGACGCTCTATCCACTGAGCCAAACCGGTTTCGGCGACTGTGGCATTTTTGAACAGCACTGGCCAGTTACTGTGTAAACTCGCGGGAGTTTGACATGCGTGGTGTAGACTGTCCCTCCGTTTGGTTTGTCCTGATGTCTCCTCGGGATTTAGGCGGCGCGTGTTGGGCAGGAATCTCGCAGAAGCAATGCCCTCTGGGACGTCCCGTCGGGAGGCGGGGGAGGGCCCCTGCCCGTTATTGGTGATGTTCTCTTGGGTCCTCCCTGGAGGTGGTGTCGCCAGGTTCTCCACCGAAAAGCTACTGTGTGTCTGTCCCTCATCAGCACCTTGTGGGGAAGAGCTTGACACGGTAATGTCCTCTCCTGTCCTCTCCTCCCGCCTGACGTGAGCATCCACGGCCCCTCCCTGACGCAACTGCCCCTGTGCGTCCGCCCGGCGACGCGCTCCGTCTGTTGAGCGACTGGACTTTACTGTAAGGAGGAGCCTTCGTCTTCCTCCCGTTTACGTATTTGTTCCAACGTGGACTCGGAATATTGTTGTATTTCACGAGTGACCGGCCGTTCCTCCCGTTACGGAGTCTGTTGCTCAGCTTGTCCTGTGTTTGGCTGTCAGACCCCTTTCAAAGTGAACAGCCTCGGGGCTCATCTGGACCCCACCCTCTCCTCCCCCCGACATTATTTTGAATCAAATCCTGGAAATCGTGTCACTTCATCTGTAAATATTTCTGCTGGGCTGTGGCTGCCCACTGTCCGCAGCTCCTGGAACCACCGCGGGCCCGGCTGGGCCGCGTCCTCCCTCCCGCACGGAGGCCGAGGGGGCGGCGCTGACAGGTGCCGGCTGTATTTCCCCCGACGGCGCACCTCCTGACCTCTATCTTCTCACCAATGATTTTCTAAATCCTCAGCGATTGGGCAGTAATTGCTGCTCCGCCTGCGATGATTGCCCTTCACCGCCAGGAACGCTGTGAAATCCCCAGGGCCGCGCGCTTGCTATTCGGGCCGCACGCTGTCCAGACAGACATCGCTGCCCGTGGCTGCGCCCGGCAGGCCCCGCGCCCGGCAGGCCCCGCACGCAGCAGGCCCCGCACCCAACAGGCCCCGCACCCAACAGGCCCCGCACCCAGCAGGCCCCGCACCCAACAGGCCCCGCACCCGGCAGGCCCCACACTCAACAGGCCCCACACCCAACAG